GTTATAGGGATCACGGGCCCCCAGCAGATTAATATTTCCCAGTGAGGTCTGGCTCTGCTGATATGGACACGGGCTGCTTTCCGCATGCCCCTGCTCTGGGTTGGCGCTGGGGAACGAGGCGGGGGGTCACGGCGGTGAGTGAGGCTGTCCTGCCTCATGCTCCCCCTGATGGGACGCTGCCATCCGTCTAGCCCCAGCACACACTGGAAGTGGGCAGTGTCCTTCCCCCTGAGTGTGTGCTGGGGGAGAGCGTGGAGACCCACAGCCCTGCATGTTTGAGACACGAGGACATCTGCTTCCACCTTTGGGTGAGGAGCTGTTGGCTGTTCTGTGCCTGTCTGTCATCTGTACCCATCTCCCTGAGGCACAGAAGCCAGGCCCCAGGGTATCTCCCCAGGAAGGCCCAGGTGAGCTCCTGCTCTCCTCCCTGCTCAGGAGATGAATGCCCTGCGAGGCCAGGTGGGTGGTGAGATCAGCGTGGAGATGGATGCCGCCCCTGGCGTGGACCTGAGCCGCGTCCTGAATGAGATGCGCGACCAGTATGAGAAGATGGCAGAGAAGAATCGCAAGGATGCTGAGGACTGGTTCTTCAGCAAGGTGGGTGGCTGTGCATGTGCAGGTGTGCACACATGTGCGTACACATGCTGGGTGCTGAGTACCGGCTGGGAGACTGGATCCTCAGACTGTCCCAGCTGGAAGGACCTTTGGAAACCAGCTGGACCAACCAACCCCTCACGGTTAGCTGCTGAGCGTGACACTCAGAGAGGCCTTGAGCTCCCCACAGCCCTTCCCTGTGGCCTGGGGAATAGTTCAGGCCTCCTCACCCCCGACTAGGGCTTCTTCCAGCACAGGCTTTGGTAGGTCTGTGTACATTTAGATGCACAACTCAGCCCCTTAGGACACATACTGAGTGGCTACAGTCCCCTGGACGGTGACAGGCAGATAAAGAGTGAAACCTAGGGCCCGTCTGTGAGAGGTGCTTCCAGCTGCTAGGAGCAATGGGTGCAAATGGCCACAAAATGAGGTGAGTTTGGCTAAGTTCCAGTGGGCACAGAAGGCCCACAGAAGCCAGGAAGAAGCTGGGGGAGCAGGTCCGGGAGGTCAGGGCTCAGGGACAGCTGCTGTTCTCTGTCCTACCTGCACAAGCCTCCCCAAGGCACCATGGCCCCCTGTCTTCCAGACGGAGGAGCTGAACAGGGAGGTGGCCACTAACACTGAGGCCCTGCAGAGCAGCAGGACCGAGATCACGGAGCTCCGCCGCTCCGTGCAGAACCTGGAGATTGAGCTGCAGTCCCAGCTCAGCATGGTAGGGCCTGTGACCCCTCCCTGCCTTGTACACCTCACCCCAGGGCAGGCCCAGCCTCCTAGACCCCCACTCAGAGAGATTCCCCACCCAGGCTGTCACCTCACACTCAGTGACACGGGCCCCTCTCTGTCCTACTTACTGCCCCAGTGTGCTGGCAGCTCCCACAGCTCCTCACCAGTTTGGGGTCCCTCCTGGGGGCTCTGCTGTGGAGAAGGGGCCTGGCTTGGTCACCCAGCTACCTATACCTTGGCCCATAGAAATCATCACTGGAGGGCAGCCTGGCAGAGACTGAGGCGCGCTATGGGGCGCAGCTGGCCCAGCTGCAGGGGCTCATCAGCAGCATCGAGCAGCAGCTGTGTGAGCTGCGCTGCGATATGGAGCGCCAGAACCATGAGTACCAGGTGCTGCTGGACGTGAAGACGCGGCTGGAGCAGGAGATTGCCACCTACCGCCGCCTGCTGGAGGGCGAGGACGCCCAGTGAGAGAGGGTCCAGGCAGATACTTGGGTGGGCTGGGGCCACTTCACCCAGGAGGGATGTTTGAGCTGAGGGGCCTGCACTGGAAAAGGCCAGGAGGAGGTGTGGAGGTTTGCAGGAGGTGGTACAGAACAGTGGCTGGGGTCTGGCTCTGTAGAGCTCTGATGGCCACACTAAAGCATCCAGGCTGGATCTGGCATCTGGCAATGGGGAGCTATGGAGGGATTTTGTGCAGAAGAAGAGCATGATCATCAAGATGCCTCACAGCATGCACTCTGGCTGCAGAGGGAGAAATGCATCAGAGGGTCCTGGGTGGGGTCAGGGAGGCGTGTTGGAAGACAGGAGCAGGGATTCAGGCCAGAGAAGTCCTGCTGTTAGGTGAGGAGGAGGGCAGGGAACAGAAGGGGGTGCTTGAAGAGGGTATTTTATGGTTAAAAACTGCATCTCTGGGCACTTGAACATGGGGGCGGGTGTTGATTGCAGGCAGGACTCAATAAATATTGAGTGAACACATGAAGGAGTGGATAACGATGACCCAGGGTTTCCGGTTCTGATGACTTGTGCGGCTGGTGACGCCACTACCTGGGATGGGTTAAGGAGCAGGGTGGATCTGGTTTGGACTGGGGCCCTAGTGTAAAGGGGCTGAAAATGTCCTGGAGTCTCCAGCTTTTTGCTCTCTGATGCTGGCAAAGTCCATCCATAGTCTAACCACAGTCTCTCCTGCTTTAATTGAGTCTATTTGTTTGGCCCTTTGGATATGAGAAAGCGCTTGCTCAGCTTCTCCTTGTAAATCCCTGCTTATCCACAAAGTGCCTCTGGGCCTTGTGTTGGGGTGTCCCTTTACTCCTGCCCACTGGGCCTGTGCCCTTTGAGCCTTATGGTTACCATTGTTTTTCATGCACTTCCCACTGGGATTTCTCTCCACTTTGTTGGGACCCATCTTTCCCCCACCCCCCACCCCCTGTCACCCCAGCTGTTCTTCCTTTCAGGGGGCCGGGCTCCTGGTTGGCACCCCTGGGCTGACAGGTTTCCCCTCTCCCTCCCTGCAGCCTGGCCACCCAGTACTCCTCTTCCCTGGTCTCACAGCCTACCCGGGAAGGTAAGAGCCTGTCCTGTCCCGCCCAGAGGGACTGGGGAGGAGATGAAGACCCTTCTGTAGGGGAGCCTGTGGGAGGGGCTCCAGCCTGAGGCACCCTGTGCCCTCTCCGCTGCCTGCAGCCACCGTGACCAGCCGCCAAGTGCGCACCATCATGGAGGAAGTCCAGGATGGCAAGGTGGTCTCCTCCCGGGAGCAGGTCCACCGCTCCACCCACTGAGGTGCCTTTCCATCTGCGATAGCCCGGTCTCGAGGGTCACGGGGCGGCCACCGCCTCCAGCTCCCGGCACGTCGCTGCTGCTGCGCCCCACGTGCCTGTCTGGGCTACCACCCAAGAGCTGTTGCCTCTCTGTATCTGCTTCCCGCAGCCCCTCACTGAGGGGGCATCCCCGGTTTGCTGCAGCGACTGCTATTAAAGCTCTTCCTGAGTTCAATACCTCCCGCAGCGTAGTCTGGTCACTGGCTTGGGCCCAAGCCGGCTGAGGGGCTAGGGGAGGCGAGTCTGTCGAGTGTTTGGGTGGCCCTTCTGGCTGGTCAATGCGCTCTGCCCACCTATCCAGATGGGGCCTCATGGGGGCACAAAAGAGAAGGAGGCTGGGGGATTGAGGGCAGAGGGATGAGGCTGGGAAAGTTTCTGCAAGTCAGCTCCTGGGTCCCCACTGACTGTGGCTGGTTCCTGGGTGGGCCCCATAGACTTGCTGCAGAACCACACCTGTTACAGAGAACTCCCTGACTCAGCCTGGGGCAGGTCTNAAAGTTTCTGCAAGTCAGCTCCTGGGTCCCCACTGACTGTGGCTGGTTCCTGGGTGGGCCCCATAGACTTGCTGCAGAACCACACCTGTTACAGAGAACTCCCTGACTCAGCCTGGGGCAGGTCTGTATTCAAGATCAGAGGGAAAGGGGCTGGGCAGGGGGCTTTCCCAAGGCATTGATGGGTGAGAGGGGGTGGCAGTGGCATAGCCAGCCCAGGAAGCCTGACTGGCTCTGCCCAGCTCAGGGGTGTGTGTGGGGTGGGGTGGCTGCTGTGCACGTGAGCGTGGGGGGCGTCCTGTTTGCTTTGGTGGCTTGGCAGCTGCTGGGTTATTGGAGACTCTCTCAGCTGCTGGTGGGGGCTGTCTGGGCCTGTCTGGGAAGTGGAAGTCACTGGCAGTCTGAGACACGACCACATTCCGCCCAGAGGGCCTGCCAGGACCCTGGGACCCAGGGCTGGCTTGTGGTGCTGGGCAGGGCAGGGAGGGGCTGTGGGTGGCACAAGGCCCATCCTGAGGGGTCCCATTTAAGAGACTGGGCTAGGGACTACAGGGGAGTCTGTGGGAGAGGGTGCTTCCTGGGGGTCTCAAGAAGAACCCTTTTCTTGGTTTCCAGCTGGCTGGGATCAGAGGTGTATGCTCTTCTCCTTCTGAGGCCTCTTGGGGTACAGGAGGGGTAAGGAGGGTGGCGGGGCTGCGCCCCTCCCCATTCTTCCCATTCCCCTTTATCAGGACTCTCCCTCCAATCTGCCATTTCCGCATCTTACTGCTAAGCTCCTCTTTACCCACCCTGGTTCAGGACCCCGACCTGTAAGAGGGAGGTGGGGAAAGGTCAGAAGAGAGGGCTGGGGCACCAGGGGCTCCCAGGGATGTGGGCAGGGTCAGGAGACTGGCCAGATGGACTTGGAGGCCCTGGAGTGCTTCCCTGGGGTCAGGGCTCTGCAGGGGCAGGAGCCCATGTGCTTGGGGCCCCAGGGGAGGGGTATGGGTGCTGTGGCACTGTCTGCTAGTTAGGTGGGCAGAGGGGCACTGTCCTTATCTGCAAATGGGTGGTGATCTGAGAGCTGACGAAGTTCCTGGGTTGTGTGGTGAGCCCAGTGGGCTTAGGTCCAGCTTCCAAGGTGGGGTGGGGTCTTTGTCCTCGCTGTTTCCCCAGCACCCAGACCCTGGCCAGGACCCTGTGTGGTGTGGTGTGGGTGAAGGAGAGCAACCTCAGGCCAGCGGCTGCTTTGTTCCCCAGCTGGTTTCCCCACCATTCACAGGGTCCAGGCAGATGGGCTGGGGTGGCAGCTGCCTGGGAGGGCCTGGTGACGGTGGCACACTGCCTCTCCTTTTCTCCGTATTAGGTCATAGGAAAGCATAGCTGGAGGGCCTGCCTGAATCACAGGTGACAGGCCTGAGACCAGAGACACACACATGCACATGCAGACGCCCAGCATGGGGGTTCAGAGAAATGAGGCAAAGCCCTGGCAGTGGGAGGGGAGGGGGCCCACAGTCACCTGGGAGCTGGCCGAGGGCCAGGAGTGATGAAAGCCCAGGGAAATGGAAACAGAGGAGTGAGCCTGCTGTAATCTCTACGCCCACTTGTTGCCGGCCTATAAAGGAGGCAGGCGAGCCCTGGCAGCTGCACCCAGGGCTTTCCTCCTTCAGAGTTCTCTTACACTGTGCTTGCCTGCCGCCTGCTGCCGCCACCATGACCACCACCATCCGCCAGTTCAGTTCCTCCAGCTCCATCAGGGGCTCTGGCCTGGGGGGTGGCTCATCCCGCACCTCCTGCCGGCTCTCCGGCAGCCTGGGAGCTGGCTCATGCAGGCTGGGGGCTGCCAGCGGCCTGGGCGGCATCCTTGGGGGCAGCAGCTACTCCAGCTGCTTCAGCTTAGGCTCTGGTGGGGCCTTCGGCGGCAGCTTTGGGGCTGTTGATGGGTTGCTGGCCGGAGACGAGAAGGCTACCATGCAGAACCTCAATGACCGCCTGGCCTCCTACCTGGACAAGGTCCGTGCCCTGGAGGAGGCCAACACTGAGCTGGAAGTGAAAATCCGTGACTGGTACCAGAGGCAGGCCCCAGGGCCTGTCCGCGACTACAGTTCCTACTACCAGACCATCGACGACCTGAGGAACAAGGTATAGCCTGCTGGTGGGAAGAGGCCTGTGGGGGGCATGACTTCTCTGCCCCATCTTCTGCCTGTGG